ATGCAACTGGAAATTATAAACAGGGATCATATCATTCATATACAGGTTCGGGGTTAGTGTATCTTATTGAAATTGTTTGCGGAGATGTATTCTCGCCATTTAAATCATTAACCTCTATATTTGTTTTTGTATAAATGATTCATGTAATTATAAATTAAAACTGCACCTCTAAACGAAAATATATATATATATATATATATATATATATATATATATATATATATATATTATTTCAGGATCATTTCCCAACTTATTCAGGATGATTTTCGCCGTCTCTAACCTTCCAATTTTCGCCGTATCTAACCTTCCAATGCGTCATAGGTTTCACGTACGATTACATTTTTTTCACTGCTCTTTGGACAGTCATCGCTGAAACTCCTTTCTCACATGCAAAACGTCTTATAATTTGAGTTGGATCTTTTCTAATTGATCACTTTAGCTCTAAGTAGAAAGGATGATCCCTCTTGCTGTTGTGACCTCCTGCTTCAGTTTTCCTCTCTACTGTTCACACTTTTTCAAACGGTTCTTTTGATACTTCTTGAATGCACTTTGAAGCTGGAAGCCAGAGTATGAATGTTGGTACCATTACTGAAGGCCTGAATGATTTTTTCCTCTCACCATTGGGAAGACATGGTTGGGCTGACATCAAACGATTTTAACCTGTTCTCTTTCTAGCTGAATAACTCAGAGGGATTTTCGGTGATTCTTACGGCAAACGGTGTCAAGTTGGCTAAACGTCTTATTTGAAAATCTGGAAACAAGAAACTCAATTAGTTTAGTGTTTTATTTTTTAGGTATTAAACATTTTGTGGGGTGAACTATTATCGCATGCAGTGACACGATTTGGACAATTTTTCTGTTACAACGTGTGTATATATATATATATATATATATATATATGTGTGTGTGTGTGTGTGTGTGTGTGTGTGTGTGTGTCTTGGAATTGCGTTTTGGTTTTGGCATTTTCTCAGAATCACTGATTTTAAATCTCCTTCTTTATCAATATTCAGTGCATATTTAACTTCAAGCAGACGCATATAATTACAAAAAAACCCCAAAAAACTGTTCTTTAAATTCCAATAAGTTTTCCCTTTTATGAGGTATAGCTTTGATCCCTTAGATTCCGCTTATGTTTATAAATGCGGGCGTTTAGATTTCGAGACGTCTCACCAATGTAAGTGTTTCTACATTGCAAGTGTATTATTTGATGAATCCCAGTATCGGAAGTCGTGTTGGATCTATTTTTCTTCCGAATTATGTCTCTGATTGTCTTGTGGGGTGGTAAAGACCCTAGTGTTTATGGTAACAACTTTTTTATACATGAAGTGTTATAGGGTAGGATTATTAATTTTTTTTGTTGACCTTAGAAGTTACGGTCATTACTACATCTTTATACACACGAACATTGCTTGACAAGTCAAATGTACGTGGAGACTGCTTAGCCAATGAAAATCAAACGACAATAATATTGTATATCTGTGTTAGTGATGTCCAAACTCTTTTTCCGCTATTGATAGTGTTCAAAGGCGTTGTAGGTGACGAATTATTTTCCACGCTCTTACCCTTTTCCTAGAGACGAAACGTTGCAAGTCTATCGCTATTTCTATGGAAAATGTTCTGTTGAACTATATTCTTTAGTAGCACCAGTTCAGTACGAATCATCCATATTTCCTTCATATGCCACCTGAAAGAAGGAAGTTATATTCTAACAGATCCTTCCCTCCAGCAGATGATTTGTGGATGCTTCCTCAATAACTAAAAACTCAGCCTATTCAAGTATAAGTTCAGCCGTTATCTATCCTACATATCCTCATAATCTGAACTTCTTATCACCTTCTCTTGCAAAAAAAAAAGTAAATAAATAAATAAAAATAAAACAACCTCATTCAGAATGGCTCTTACTTCTTGTACTCTGTGGACAAGAGCATAAAACATTTTCGTGATGTCACTTGATGCAACAGCACTTTCAGTGCTGTTGACAAAGGCAGAGTATGAGACACTTGTAAATAGTTCATCGAGGTTATACCAACGCCCACAAATGACAACATTTGCCAGTTAAGAAAGCTTGGGAGGAGAATGGTAAGCACACAGGTGATTCAGATAATAGACAACTTTTCTAAGCTAAGCGGAGGTGGCTCGATCGCATACCACTGGAAGGTGTGGCCCTCACACAACACATGGGGAATGGTGCATCCAAAACAAGACTTATTTGGATCAGCGAAACATAAATAAACAACACTTAACCAATCCCATCTAGAAGGGGTGAAGTGTGCATTCCTTTTCTATAAATATTTCCATGACAATTGTTCTGATGAGCTTTCTTTTTTGGTACGTACATTTTGTGAATTTAAGCGTACTACTAGATTGGCAGCAAGACCCCACCATCTTACAGTTGAAAACGGCTAGTTTTAAACAGTTTCTCCAACTGTCAATTCTTATATTCTGTATTCTTAATTCCTCTTCTCACTTCCTGTTATTGCTCACTTTCTCTCTCTCTTTAATAATATTTTCTTTTTCTCATATCCACTCACATTCAGTAACACCTTTTGTGGCTTTATTACTTTCCTTGGTATATGTTGATTAAACAAAAAGAAGTTCAGTATTCTTTTCTTTGTTTCTAACGAAATTTAACTGTTTTTTTTTTGTTTTGAACCCGCTATTTTCTTTTTGCTCTCGTTCTATATCTTGAGATTCTCGTCAAAATACAAAAAAAAAAGAAAAAAAAAAAAGGTTTATAATGTTATTGGTCCTGACCTGAACATTTTTTTCTAATCAGAATCCATCTTGCACATTTTTAAATCTACCATTCGTCCGTCCGTTAAATATTGCTGTCATATCTGATTTGGTGCTTCTGCTATGCATTTAGAGATTCATGATAACGCACAAAGAATCTGCAATGTTATTGGTCCTGAACTGGTATCTCGGTTTTATTCTTTTTTCTTGCCACCATAACGTAGCTTCCCTGTGCCTTTTCTATAAATATTTCCATGGCAATTGTTCTGATGGGATTTCTTCTTTGATACCAAGATTTTATGAATTTAAGCTTACTACTAGATTGACGATAAAGCCTCAAAATGGCGAGATATAACCGTAAGTTCTATGCTAAAAGTTTCTTCTCCCACACTCCTCGCTTGTAGCACTCTCTTTCAGTTACTTGCTTTACAGTGAACTTTGATCTTAAAAAACTTAAATGCAATGTCAATCGTTATCTTCTGTCTTCTTAATTTATATTCTTTTATTGTTTTCTTTCCTTAATAATAATCATTTTTCTTTTTCTCATATTCTTTCGTATTCAGTAACGTGCGTCTTAGCGGCTTTATTTCCTTGCTTGGGGTGAAATGATAAAAAAATTCAGCAGCCTTGTGGATACCCTTCTAGAGAGAACTTGCAAAGGGAGACAAATCATACAATATACGATCAAGTCGTAAAAAGATGCACCTTATCAAGTGTTTCGATGCAGCACTATCAAATATTGCCGATTATAACAATCTCCAGGTGACAAACACATGCGTATTTTGTTTACTCTGTTTCGTTTTATTTACAGTGTACAAAATTATCTGTGCGAAAGTTTTATAAAAGAGGATGGAATCTGTGACACAGTAATCCGAAGACTCATTGTAATAACGGGACTCCCGACAGATCTGCCGTTTCAGGTGGTTCAGGCTGACTTGTTGAACTATCTGCCTTCGGGCAGAGAGGGACCCAGACTTGACTCTGCCTTTCGGCATAGCCTCGTCTGGGGAGGTAGACAAGCCCGACACCGTGTATGCGGGGTCTACGGGGAATTTTTGCGCAAGTGTACGTGTTCGGAATCGCCTCATATAAAAAACGGCCTTGTGCCGCATCCTGCCTTGTGGGGAGGCTAAGGTAAATGACATCATTGCAATAACGGTTTTCCAAAAACTTAACAAAGTATTAAGAAACAGGAACATTTCTCCAGAAACAAAGTAAAAAGTGTCCAACTGCTATTTATTATCAATTTTCTTATATGACAACGAGCGCTGAGAAAACTTCTGATAATACCATGTATGCGACGTGAGCAACGAGAAAGTTTTAAGTAAAATGGGAATGAAAATGGTTTATATTTTTGTTTAGTATCACAAAGAGATAGCTTAATTTTATCGAACACACGATAAGGAAATGGAACTTGGGGAGTTGTACACTCACAGGACATTATTGAAGACAAGAACTGTAGATGAAAAGAGTGATTAACCTACTAAACAAGCTTGTGTAAATGTATGACAAAACAGAGACATAGATTAAGGGGACAAATACTACTTAGTGCTATAAGCGATAGAAAGTTGTGGAGAACCATGAACAATTCCGAAATAGAAAGGCCTTAGTTCAAATCCAAAATACAAAGACCTTAGCTTCAAGTCCAAAATACACTGACATTAGCATCAAAAACGAAATACAACAACCTTAACTTCAAATCCGAAATAATACGATCTTAGCTTTTCTCGAACACACGGTAAGGAAACGGTACTTTGGGAGTTTGACACTCACAAGACATTATTGAAGACAAGAAGTACAGAGACAAACAGTGCGTAACTTACCTAACAAGCTTGTGTAAATATATGACAAAACAGACACATACAGTAAGGTGACAAATACTGCTTAGTGCTATAAGGGATAGAAAGTTGTGGAGAATCATGATCTGAAACAGCATTGAGCATAAAGGCAGTATAAAAGCTATCAATATATTGTAAGAAAATCACATATAAATATTATTTCAGTTTGGTTAGGTGGAACAGAGCACTGGAATCAATTGCAGTTTAATCCTTGTGCATAGAAACAGATGATTATGCACTGTATTCATTGATTTTACTCATTTTATCAGCTGCCGTATGCCCCGATGGTAGTCAGGGGGATATGTAAATGGTTCTCAAAGCGGGCATTTTGAAATAAAGATAGCGGCCGCAGTTTTGATCAGATTACGCGTGATCTGTTTTTATATGAAGGAACATGACAAATATGGATGCAAGTTTTCACAATTTAAAATGTTCAACACTGCTATCAAGAAAAGAACAAGGGGTGGGGGTTCAACTTGCATATATTTCTTTGAAAATCGATCTATCTATAACTGTTCATGTCTATCACAGTCTATTCATAAGTATCACTGTCTATTCATATCTATCTATCTATCTATCTATCTAACATTATATTCAACACTTGCGATCTATTCAGTGAAGACCTTAGCTTCAAATCCTAAATACAAATGACTTAGCTTCAAATCCGAAATAGAGCTTAGCTTCATATCCGAAAAAGAAAATGAGCTTCCAATCCGAAATAAAAAGGCCTTAGCATCAAATCTGAATTACAAAGATCTTAACTTCAAACCCGAAATACAACGGCCTTAAATTCAAAACCGAGATACAAAGCTCTTAGCTTCAAATGCCAAATACAAAGATCTTAGATCCAAATCTGAAATAAAAACACCTTAGTTTCAAATCTGACATACAAAGATCTTAGCTTCAAATCCGAAATTGAAAGAGCATAGTTTCAAATCCAAAATAGAAAGACCTTAGCTTCAAAATCAGAAAGTTTGAAGCTAAGATCATTCTCCAAGATTCAAGTACGAAATACGAAGATATTACATTCAAAACAGAAATACGAATATCTTTGATTCAAATCCGAAATATACTGGCTTGAGTCCAAGCTCAAAATGCAAAGAGCATAACTTTTAATCTGAAATAGAAAGAAATTGGCCTCAAATCCGAAATACAAAGATCTTAGCTTTAATTCCGAAATAGAAAGTCCTTATCTTCAAATCCGAAATACAAAAATCTTAACTTCGTATCCGAGATACAAAGACCAAAGCTTCAAATCCGTAATAAAAAGGCTTGAGCTTGAATTCAAAATACAAAGAACATAACTTAAAATAGAAAATCGAAAATAAATTAGCTTCAAGTCCGAAATGCAAAGGCCTTAGGTTCAAATCCAAAATAGACCTTCCCATCAACCCCGAAATAGAAAGCGCTTAACCTCAACTCCGAAATACAAACGTCTTAGCTGATTATACGAAATAAAAGACCATAGCTTGAAATTTGAAATACAAAGACCTAAGCTTGAAATCTGAAATACAAAGATCTTAGCTTCATATTTAAATACAAAGAACTTAGATTTAAATCCGCAATTCAAAGACCTTAGATTCAAATTCAAAATACAAAGAATATAACTTCAAATCCGAAATAGAAAGATTTTAATTTCAAATACAAAGGCCTTATCTTCAACTCCTTAGACCTTAGCTTCAAATTCGAAATAGAATGATCTTTGCTTTCAATCCGAAATACAAAGACCTCAGCTTCAAATACGAAATAAAAAAAATCCTTATCTTCTAATCCGAAATATGAAAACCTTAGCTTCAAATCCCAAATCCAAACGCCTTAGCTGCAAATCCAAAATTTAAAGACCTCAGCTTCAAATCCGAAATACAAAGATGTTAGCTTTAAATTCGAAATGCAAAGATCTTAGCTTCATATCCGAAGTACAAAGAACTTAGCTTCAAATCCGAAATAGAAAGACCTCAGCTTCAAATCCGTAATACAAAGACCTTAGCTTCTAATTCAAAATAAAAAAGACGTTAGCTTCCAATCCAAAGTAGAAAAACCTAAGCTTTTAAACCGATATAGTAAGACCTTTGCTTCAAATCCGAAATTCAAACATCCTAGCTTCAAATTCGAAATACAAATTATTTGAAATACAATACATAACAAATCAGCAGGTATATTTTATTCAGAAATATTTTTCGATTGTTTTTCTATATTAATATTGCGACTTGACTGGTAATATCATGTTTAACTTCCGTTTGTGTTGAAAAGAAAAACAACTTACCTTCATTGCTTGCATCGTTACTTTGTTATGTTTTGATATCTTAACATGAAATTTTAAGAGGAATTCAAATCGGAATCAGTTTTTTGATCTAACTTCAGATTTGTACAGTCAACAAGCAGAAGTATTTTCCATTCTACAACCCTTTCGCACAGACGAAAAGGCGCAAGACTGTTGCTAGTTTCCCGCTATTTCTGACGACCTATATTTCGTGATTACACCATTTCTTTTATAATGATTTCTACCATGTACAGGGCTCAAGGGCCACTCGTGGTAATGGTTACAGAATAAGAGACATAGAGTTCCACAGTTCAGTTTTTCCTAGAACGAATCTGCTCGATTGCAACTTAAATCACACTAATGGAATACGAAGTGAATGAGGTTAGTTCTCCACAATATGCATGATTGGCCTTAGCTGTGAACGTTAGAACTGGTGCAACTAAGGAAGAGCCATTAATTGATTGGTTCGTTTTCAACGCAATATTTACCCATTTAAGGTTCACTATTTCCATTATTCGGGCTATTGTCCTCATCTTTGTCACCATATTTATTACAACAACCCTTTATTAACCGGGTATTGAAGTAGCGCATTTATCCACTGTGTCATGTGCCCTTGAGGACAGATGACACAGTCGATAAAGGTGTTAGTTAAATACAGAGAGAGGACCCAAAGAGTATGAGTTCAATACACGGTTAAGGTAGTGGAGAACTTGGAGAGGGGAATTAACAAGAGATAATTGACAACTGACATCCATTAAAAACATGGCACGTGGAACTAGAACAGTCTACCCCAGCGAGCGAAATAAAAGGTTCAGTTCAACATTCCAACCATCTGAAGAAGGCCGGAGCGTACAACGGCCGAGAAATTGTAATAAATATGGCGACAAAGATGAGGACAATAGTCCGAATAATATAAATAGTGTACATAATAGCTCATCTCCGAAATATACACAGATACTGAAAGGCCGAAACGTTGTGATAAACATGGCGACGAAGATGAGGCAATAGTCCGAATAATGTAAATAGTGTACATAATAGCTCATCTCCGAAATATACACAGATACTGAAAGGCCGAAACGTTGTGATAAACATGGCGACGAAGATGAGGCAATAGTCCGAATAATGTAAATAGTGTACATAATAGCTCATCTCAGAAATATAGACAGATACCATTTAAGGTTATTTAAAACCAGAAAATATTCTTTTAGATTTTAAGAATTTATTTTTGAGTTAATGATGATTCCATGGTATAAATCTTACTAATTAACCATAGCTGGAGAGAGAAGAGGTGGATTCATGCCTTTCCCAAGAGTTTAAGTGAATATAACTAACCGAAATGGAATTGGAACCCAGCTCTCCGATTAATAATTCCGAGCCATTATCCATCCAAGCTTACGGCATCTCGTATTCCTAAGCGGACACTCATCTACGCACTAACGAAGAGCGAGTGGCTTGCGACGTTTTGTCTGTAGGAAACTTTTGTCGGGTGGAAAACAGTTCAAAACCCACAAGGACGCGTAGACGATTTTTTAAAACCTGTATCAAGATGGTAAAGTGATGACAGGCCATGTCTTGCCTATATATCTCATAGGTAAGAAGGAAGTTTCATTCGGACAACTTCGTTCTAAGAGCCGCTTGCTTTGTGGAAAAGACTCCCAAGAGAATGCTTACCTACTACACTCGTTACACTACAATCGTAACCTCTTGAAGTTCAGGGCCAATCATTATTCTACATATGGTCGTAATATACAATTTCTGCGCCCATAAAACAAGTCGATTCAGTAATGCTCTACTTTGATTGGCTCAAAGGCCTTGTATTGCGTGAACAATGGCGTAAAAATACAGAACTGAGTTCATATATACTTAGCTCATTTTAAGAAAGTGAGAGAAAGATTATGTTGCACCAGCATTTTTACATAGTTTTCAGCGCAAATGCCAGCATAATGGGTTCTTCTTCTTCACCCCTCCCCCTTTCAATCGATTTAGATCTGATTTTATCATTTTCAGAGATGAGCAGCAGTGGCCACTTATTAAGCAGTTTTTTGAGGCTTTAAACAAGACCCCAAAACAGTGAAAATTAAGGCCTTCAGTAATGATACCAACAATCATACTCTGGCTTCCAGCTTCAAAGTTCATTCAAGAACCATCAAGAGAATGGTGAATAAGTTTTAAAAAGAGGGAACAGTAGAGAGGATAACTGGATAAGGAGGTCACAACAGCAAGAGGGATTATCATTTTAACTTAGAGCTAAATACATTCTTATTGTTCAAAGTAGAGTTCAATAGTGTTAAAGAAACCTCGGAAAATTCCAGTAAGATGTCTTTAATCATTTCTAAAATACAACGCTTCAAAGCTTAATCTGATAATTGGGCAATTTTATATTCAAATGGTTAGATCTCTTTATAAAAATTATAGCACCGTCCACATAATATACCTGGATACATATTATCAATTTGAGAATTCACAGAAATCCCGGAGCGGGGGCGTTTTGGAATCACAACTTTAGAGTAAAACATTGTAAGCCTTTCTTTAATTTTGAGATAAGTTATCATTCAACAGTTTTTCGGTAAACTGCTGTCATTCTTTGCATTGTTTTTTTGTGATTATTATGTTTCAAGTGATCCATTCTCATGTCTTCTGTAATTGTTTTAGACGATTATCATCCTTGACAACATATTTCGTATTACTTTTGTGATTAGCACGGAGTTTATGGCGATCCAATTTTCTAGCATTTTGTCATTTGGAGAGGATTCGTTATAATTCCAAAAGTTTATTGTTGTTTATCATTTCTTGTTACCTCAATGTTTTGATCGATTCATCATTGGCCTTTACTCGGTTATATGGTGCAGATAAAACATATCAAACAGAAGGTGTACAAATCTTCTGTTTGATATGAGGCTTCATTCTTTGTATGTCTGTTGGGTCTCAATTTCAATCCAGACCTCAAATTGAACTCATATATACGAGGCATTGCTAAAAATACTGGAAAAATGGTCGACTAATCTTACCTCTCGAGAAAGCATCTGACTCATTCTGTTATACTTTATTTTTACTACTGCCAGATAAGAACAAAACTGGAGTATTGCTGTCATATCTGGGCTTTGGAAGGCACACTCTCCACTTCTATGCCTTGACAGATTCCGAAATCATTTAAATGGTCTTTCCTAATGACGTAACGTTGCAATCATATTGTTGTTTCCATGGCAGAAGTTCAGACGAGCTCCACTCTTTAGTTCCGCCAGCTCGGACCTTTAGAACCAGGTTACGAAACGTTATAATTCCAAAAGTTTATTGTTGTTTATCATTTCTTGTTACCTCAATGTTTTGATCGATTCATCATTGGCCTTTACTCGGTTATATGGTGCAGATAAAACATATCAAACAGAAGGTGTACAAATCTTCTGTTTGATATGAGGCTTCATTCTTTGTATGTCTGTTGGGTCTTTCTGTAACTACTGCCAGATAAGAACAAAACTGGAGTATTGCTGTATATCGCACTCTCCACTTCTATTTGACAGATTCGAAATCATTTAAAATGGTCTTTCCTAATGACGTAACGTTGCAATCATATTGTTGTTTCCATGGCAGAAGTTCAGACGAGCTCCACTCTTTAGTTCCGCCAGCTCGGACCTTTAGAACCAGGTTACGAAACGATATTCAGTGACTCTCATTTCTTCCGTTTTCCAAATGTAAGAAGGAAGTTTTCACTTAGACTACTTTTTTCCCAAGAAATTTGCTATTTGTGGAATACGCTGCCATGTGGATGCTTCCTTGAACAGATTAAACCTAAGCTCTTTAAGTCAAGGAACAATCGTAAATCTATCCTCATTCTGATAATATTCGCTTCTTATCACTTCGTCTTTCCTTCATATCACGCATCTCTTTTATATGTACTATTTAAAAATAACCCTCTAATTTGAGTGGCTCTTGAGCCTTCAGACGTATAGCTATATCACGTTGAAACATCGTTTCACATACGAACACCGAAGTTAACCAACGACAAACCTGGTGTTATATCGTCGAGGTGAATGATACACAGAGAAGAAAGAGTGATTAATATATTTATTCAGCACAAGTATCCGGTGCTAACAGATCCATACAAAAAACACAGAATAATAAGTTACAAACAATTAACAAGACAACTTACAAGGAATAGAGGAGGGTCAATGGTGTACATTCCGAATATTAACCTGCTTAATATCAACTTATTAATCAACTGTTGAAGTCCTTAATCGTAGACTATTTAAGGCTATAAGCCAGGCCATCTGTAAGGATGCTGAAGAGGTGCTGGTTACTCTACAACACCTGATCAGTACCTTGATGCATAACTGCTTGGGAATACCAGGTGCTGTAAGGTGTGTATTGGATAACGGCTCGGAATTGTTAATCGGAGAGCTGAGTTCCAATTCCAGTTGGGTTCATTATATACACGTAGGTATAAATATTCTTGGGAAACGTATGAAAACATATCTTCCCCTCTTTCGCTATGGCTTAATTGGTAAGACGTTTATCAATATAAACCGTATTATCTCCAAAAATTAAAAATTCGTACAAAATACTTACATTTCGGCAGGAAATAATCATAGAGTTTGATATGCCGCAAAACAAAATCAATTTTAATAATTGACAAACCCCTTATACAGGGTGCGATGGATAAATTGTCGGATAAATTACGCAAAAATGAAAAGAACATTTTAACAGATATCTGTCTATATTTCTGAGATGAGGGATTATGTACACTATTTACATTATTCGGACTACTGTCCTCATCTTTTTCACCATATTTATTACAATGTTTCGGCCGTTGTACGCTCCGGCCTTCTTCAGGTGGTTGGAATGTCAAAACGATGTAATAAATATGGCAACAAAGATGAGGAAAATAGTCCGAATAATATACATAGTTTAACAGATATATTTAGCAAAACTGCACAAAAATATCTTCAAATACGAAAGAGTAAATTTATTCAATAAAATCGCCATTGGCTTCGAAACAACTTCGGAATCCCTTGCAACACTTCTGGTCGCTCTCTTTGTTTAAGTTGGTGATTGCTACCATAATCCTTGATTTCAAGTTTGGTGTCACAAGGAGTTTTGTTGGCCTCAAGCTCAATTCCACCCCGAACATAATAATCAAGGGGGTTGCAGTCTGGGGAGTTAGGTAGCCAGATGTAAAGGCGATGTGGTTACAGAAATTGTCTGGCAGCTATGACTGTGTTCTCTTGCTTGTGTGGTATGGTGCAGGGCCCTGTTGCCAGACATATGCTCTTTCAGCAGCCAACCTCTTGACCCAGAGCAGCACTACATCCCTAAGAATGTTGAGTCTAAGGGCCTATGAGAAGATGAATGGGAGCATAACATCACTATCACCAGTGATCACTCCAAACGCCTTTGTAATCACCATTAGACTCATCTAACTCTTTTTGAATCATCTGCACTGTCCTCAGATTGCACACAAACAATTCGAAATGTTTGTATTGGAGATTCCGGGTTGAATACCAAGTAGTACATCATGCAGTTTCCAAATTTGAATTGAATTGCATCATGGTGCTCTTTTTCTCACAGGCGGTTCCCAACTGACTCTATACGGTGCAGCAGACAAAATCAAAAACAAACAACTCGCATGCGCGAAATTAAAAATACAAAATGGCGATAATTTACCTATCGCAAAA